GATAGATTTCAATAAATGATTATTCATACTGTTCTTACCAGCTTGTACATAAAAAAAGAGTTGCAAGTGATCAAAGAGATAAGAGGCTCGTCAGATGTTTCTTCAATTATAGAGAGAAAGAGAGAAATGAGAGAGAATTGAATAGAGAGACAAGCTAACGTTGCTTATGATAATGGAGTTCCAAGTGTTCGATTAAAAAAGAATGGCAGGATCGAGCGACGGGTCATGATTCATCTTTTTGGAGAGGACAGAGAAATTCTCCATGTAAAGAAAGTATACAAGCTGAAGCTGGATGGGATAAAAGTAACAATAACTTGGCTACGTAGCTGTCCTGTAATTGATCGATCGGAAGCAATTCTAAAACACGCTTGATCCACCATAAACAAATTTCTTTTGCCCAGCTGACGGACGATGGATAAGGTTCCCCATTTCTAACTTGAATAGACCTGCTATTAGGCGTGGTTTCTGTGGCTTTGCCAAGAGCTAAAATTTGTTTCATAAAAAAAAATGATATTTAAGTGTCAAAGCGTGTTATTTTTTTTTTACAAAAAAAATTGCAACTCAAGATATAAATTTAAGTGGATCAAATAAATTAATTTTATTTTAATTATATATATATAAAATATTAAATAAATCAAGAAAAAAATATTTTTCATTAAGAGATAAATGATACAATTCAATTCACAATTATTAAATATTAATTAATAAAATTAGATAAAAAAACAGTTTTAGTCAATCTGAATTAGCATGATTAACTTGTAGTCTCAATAATTAGAATTGAGCTAACTTAAGATATCCTACCAAACCCACGATTTAGATCATAAAATTGAAATAACCCAATAAAAAAAATAAAAAGAATTAAATTTTTTTGATTGAAGGGTGAAATAAAAGAAAAATCACTTTAACAAATGAAAAAAATAAAAATAATGAGGACAAGATTAGTAAAAGTAATATACCATAAATTTGAATTGAATGATAGAATCGAAAATAAATTAAAATTTTATAAAAGGGTCAAGAAAAAAATTAGAAATCAAAACAATAAGAACCAAATTAGAAAACATAATACCAAAAATTTGGATTGAAGGATGAAATTGAAAATCAATAAAACTTTTACAAAATGACCAATAAAAAAATAAAAACCAAAAGAATAAGGAATTTTAAAAAATAATATATGTCAAATTGAAATTGATGAATGAAATTGCAAACAAATAAAACATCTATAAAAAGACCAAGAAAAAAATTTTACAAATCAATAAAATAAGGACTGAAGTTGTAATTTTTTGGGGAGAAGGGAGAAAAGAAAACAAAAAGTCAACCAACAATAAACTAAACCACCAATGCTGACATATATAAACTAAACCATCAATTTAAAAAATAATGTATTTTAAATTCTAGGAGGTACCGCACGCACCGCTTGAAGGTTGTAAGCGTTTCCCCCTCACTTTTAAGTTGACTTATAATTACACAAAAACCATTATGTGAAGACAAACAATCCTTTTGATTTTACGTTTAAGATTTTGGGTTTTAAGGGTATTTTTATTATTTCACTATATATTTTAATAGTTTACTTTTTAATATTTGATTAAATACCAAATTGTCTCTCAATTGATATAATAACAAAAAAAATCATTATGAAAATATAAAAATATCTCTTGACACTATTTTTTTTCTTTCAAGGGTATTTGGTCGTTTTATTATGCAATTAAGAAGAGAAAAGACCTATTTATCCCTAATTAATTTGGTAATGAGAAATGGACTATATGAAAAGACTTTAATATCCTTGGAGGTCAATGCTAAGTTTCTTAGGTGGAGGGGAAAGATTTTCAGTACACTGTTAGAGTAAATAATATCTTTCAGTTTGGAACTACAATGTTTTTTCAAGGGCTTTAGCCTTTTTTTAACCAGACTCGATGCTTGTGATATGCCATAAGATTGGACTAATTTTTTTAGCTAGATTCAATGTTTGTGCTTTGACACAAGGCTAGACTGTTTTTTTTACTCAAGAAATGATATTCAATGGCCGCAAGTGTTTTAAAAAAGAAAGAAAAATATGCAACTCGGCTCATAAACTTGATTGAGTTGAATAAGGTAGCTTTAATTAAATTAAACAAAAAAATATAAATAAACAATAATAGATGGATCAAATTAAAAAAAAAAATTAGGATAATTTTCAAAAAAGGACAAACAATATATCTTATTTCACAACCCATTAAATACAAAAGAACAAAACGAGTAGAAAAGGACATAAAAAAATTATTCCTGGTTAACTTGAGTTAGCATGACAAGTTTGTAATTCCGGTAATCAGGGTCGAGCTAACCTAGAATATCATATCAAACCCGCGACCTAAATTATAAAATTAAAATAACCTGATAAAAGAATAAAGAGAATTATAAAATCTTTTTTGAATAAAAAACAATATTAACTTTTCAAACCCATAACCTAGGTCATTGGATCAAAAACATCTTATTTAGAAAACTCATAAAGTCCAATTCCTAATTAATATAATATTGAATGGTGAAATTGAATTTTTTTTAATTATACATAAGAATTAAAAAAATAAAAATTAAAAGAATAAGAATTATTATTGAAATACCATATTGATTTGATATTTGATTGAAATGTGAAATCAAATATAAAAATCAATTTAGCAAAAGGATAAAAAAAAAATAAGGATCAAAATTGATATAAAAAAATAAAAATAAATTTGTGATTGAAGGATGAAATTAAAAAGAATAATAACTTTTCAAAAAAAGCCAAAGAAAAAAAATCAAAACAATGAGGACTGCATTGGAAAACATAATACTACCAATTTAGATTGAAAGATGAAATTGAAAACCAATAATTTTCTTACAATGAAGGATGAAATTAAAAAGAATAATAACTTTTCAAAAAAAGCCAAAGAAAAAAAATCAAAACAATGAGGACTGCATTGGAAAACATAATACTACCAATTTAGATTGAAAGATGAAATTGAAAACCAATAATTTTCTTACAAAAACTTTAAGGAAAAAATTCAATTAAAAAAAAAAAAAAAAACAAGTATCAACTTGAAAAAAACCATATATGTCAAAATGGAATTGATGGACAAAATTGCAAGCAAACAAAACTTCTAAATAAAAGGATCAAGAAAAAAATTAAAATAAAAAAAATAAAGATTGAAATTGAAATACTAACAACAAAGAGGGCCAAACTGTAATTTTCAAGGGAGGAGGAGAAAAGAAAAGAAAAGAAAAAAAAAAGAATAGGTTAATCAATAATAAATCAGATTACCAACACTGATATGTGCTGCTCTAGATAAAAAAGAATATAGCAACGCTTTCAATAACAAGATGAATGATCGTTTTTGAACAAAGAAGACACTGCACGAGTCTTTAGATGGTTCAGTTATACCTATGTCTTTTTAAATCAAGAATCAAATCCTCTATAAGTTAACTTAATAATTATACAAAAAATACCATGAAAAGATAAAAAAAAACCCTCGTGACTCTAGGTTTAAAATTTTAGCTTTTAAAAGTATTTTTATCATTTTACTATATATTTTAATATTTTTATTGTTTTTTATATTTGAACAAACATCAAATTGCTTCTTTACTAACATTATAATAATAAAAATATCATTATTAAAATACACAAATGTCTCTTGGTACCATGTTTAGTTTTTTATTTTAAATGATATTTTGATCATTTTACAATGTAATTAAAAAAATAAAAAAATTATTTATTCTCAAAAAATTGTATAATAATAAATATGCCATACGATAAAACTTCAATGTTTTTAAAAGTTAATATTAAATGTTTTAGGCGGAGAGAAAAAAAAAATCACTATTATTGTGGACAGTTTATGTTTTTTTAGTTCGGAGCTAAATTGTGTTCCGCTTCTTTTAATATTCTTAGCAGTGTGAATTTAATGAAGACATCTGTCAAAAAAAAAAAAAAAACCTTTTTCCCATTTGTGCCCCTCCCCCCTGTAATAAAAAAAAACTCAGACGGCGACAATGCACATACCCACATACCCACCCCCACCCCCCCCCCCCCCCCCCCCTCTCTCTCTCTCTCTCTCTCTCTGTGTCAGTCGGTCCCTGCAATTTCAAGCTGCAACTCTTCTTCCTTCTCCCTCGCGCCAACCATGATTAATGCTCCCTCCCTCTCGCTCTGTGTGTGTGTGGTTTTAAGCTTGCTTGATATTTACGGTTTATTCATCAAGATCAAGAGGCTTGGAATCCACAGTCAGTGTACATATCTGTCAATTGGGCCTCTTTAGCTTGAGCTTGGAATGCCCAACGATTCAAGTTGTCAGGAAAACACTAAAAAGATGTGTTGTCCAGAAAGTGAAATTTGATTTTGTCATCGATGACCTAATTTTTTATTTTGGGTGTCGCTGTTCATATCAAAATTATTTTAATCGTGCCTTCAAGTTTCATTTTCTTCAAAAACAAGGATCCAATCACGATAAATAAAATGATTGGTGGTGACCCTCCAATTGTTTTTTTCATAAGAAAATACATTTTTATTTTTATTTTTTCTTAATTGTTTTTTTAATTTGAATTTTGAAAAAGAGTTTATATCTATCTCAATAAATAAAATAATATAAAATGTATGTTTTCAAGATATTTAGAAGAAAAATAAATTTGGTCTAAGTTGATGTGCAAATTACTCCAAAAATACCATTATCATAACAAAAATAAAGAGGAAAACTCCAAATGCATTCTTAGACCATTAAATTGGAATCTTTCTCAAAGGGGAATTTTATATAATATTTTGCGTTTGTTTTTCTATGGAAGATTAATTATTTATTGCCTATAGAATTCATACTTTAGCATCAATCATTTGACAAAACAATTTGTTTAAAATTTTAACTTAAAAAGCTTTATTTGTAAATTATATTTCTTAAAAAAACATGTTTCTTCCCTCTCCCCTCAATTTTATTTGTTGTTTTTACTTTTTTCTTTTATTGGTTTATATTTTAGTTTCACTAAGATTATGTTATCCTCTGGAAAACAAACTTCAACCGTTACCTGTTTAAATTGAAATCTTATTACTTCTGCTGTCTTTAAAATGTTGTTCTAATTTTATTCTTCTTATCATTCCCTCTCTTTTTCTTAAAAATAAGACAAAAATTACGTGAGGTTATTTAAAAGATATTGATGCTCATCTTTTAATTAGTGTGTGTTGATGTAGTGGTGAGCCACTATTTTATTAAATTTTATTGTTGATGATGTATGGTGGATCAAAATAAACAATTAAATTTATTTTTAAATTTTTTTAAATTGAATCGAACCAAAAACCAATTCAAATCAATTAATTTTGATTCGATTTAATTCGGTTTTTTTTCTTGCAAACCGGTTGGAACCAAAATTATTCCAATTGCAAACAAATAAAAAGTATTTTCCAGCTGTAGTGCTTCTAACTTGTTAACAATCCCAAAAAAATCTATACATTAAAAAATACAACTAAAAATATTTCTTGTTTGGGCATTCTAATGCTATGTGCCCCAACCGTTTACAATTAAAATAAGAGCCTTCAAAGCTTTTGCTATACACAATAAAAATATCATGTTAATTTTAATAATTTGTATATAATGGATGACTAAAACTTGTATGAACAAATATGTCCAAACCCTCAGTCACACAAACCAGCAAAAGATAAGAAACACAGTATGGGGAGAACAAAGAGGAAGTGAAAGGAAAAAAAAATTCATCACTTACCCACATCATACATGCACCCAAATCTCATTCTATTAAGGTCACCAAAGATCTGATCAAATATATGATTACTAGATTCAATCAAAAGCATTTCCAAAAGCAATTATTAAATATCATCGCAGGGAAAGAATTAAACAGAAGCGTAAGCAGATCTTGGCAAATGGATGAACCCCTATAAAGCCTGTAATTTTAGGTTTACAAAGAGTAAAGGGAGGGGAGAAAAATCAAAAAGAAAAAATTCAGAGAGTAAAAAGAAAGGAAAGAAGTAGAGAGAAAAAGAAGAAGGGCAGTTGAATTTTACTTTAAGTTTAGGATTAGAAAACATCATATTTATACTTTTTTTTTTTTAGTGTTGGTCTGGTTGAATTGGTTCAGTTCGGTTCAATTCAATTTATTTCAGACTTTGAAAACCAAACTGAACTGGAATTTTTTTGTGATTTTTTAATCGGTTAATTTTGTTTTTTTCGATTAGGTTATTTTGGTTATTTGTTTTTTGATTTTCTCTATTTATCATTTTTTCCCTCACCCCTATACTAAACATCTTAGGGTTTATCTCTGTGTTGAGTCTAAGTGTTATGTCAGTCTAAAACGATGTTAGACCTAATATTTTTTAGTTCAGTTATGCGTTGAGGCCAAGTGCATATGGTTTTGATATTAATATTATTATGTAATAAATATTTATTTCTCATTAATATTGTGTAAGAGATATTTATTTTTCATTAACGCTATCAAGAGGAAGTGATGTTTCAACCCCTTCATTCAAGTAACTTGACAAAGTTTAGATTCTATATATATCATTTGAACTAGTCAAATAAATGGTTCATATTTTTTTACTCTCTAAATATTGACATTCTTATTTACAGAGCATTTATCATACACAACTAAGAACAAACATGCTTGTTATTAGAATTTAAAACTTATTCTCTCATTTATTATAATCAAGTATTGTAAATCATTGACTTTACCATATTTAGAGTGTTTTTAAATCCTATAAAAAAAACTATTTTGCAGATATGAAGTTTTTTATTGCTTATCATCAACTCTCTAAATTAAAAAGAAAAAAGAAAAGAATACTCTGTAATTATGTGATTATTTTTTATCCAAACACTCAAAAAATTTTATTCATGAACATATTAGATTTGAAACATCACCATAATAAAAACAAAAATGTCAATTTTTTAAAATATTTTATATATTATAAAAAATAAAAATAATAAAAAATAGCACTTAAAATCAACAGTACCAATAATCAAATATTATGCGGGAATATAAGAAATAAAACAAAAGGAAAGCCACCAGGCTGCTTCTTTTTGTAATATAAGTAAATGTATCTGGATATTAAAAATCGAACTTTTTCAATGGTTATGAAAGGATCAATGATAATTTCATTCTTTTTCCTTTCAATGTTAATTATTCATACGTATCAGCTTATTAATTTGTTATTTACAATCAAAATATATATTTTTAATTTAGAAATAATAATATCATATTTTCTTGTAATTAGAATTACACATAATATTTTTGAAGTATCCTTACTTCCTAGCATTAAACCTTATTTACACTTACTCTTTTGCCAAATAATAAACTAAATTCTTGTAAGATGGATTTATCAAAATTCTAATTCTATCTCCTACAACTCAAAAAATCTTGATTTCACCTCTATAGTTCTTAAAAAGTTTTACTTGGTCCCTTCACTATAAAATATTTATAGCAGACAAAAAAATTACTTATTTTTATTTTATTTTCCTTACTTTTCTTTTATTTTTTTCTTATTAAATTCTCATTTATGCTATAACATATGAAAACACTTAACACACAAAAAAAAATCTCAAAAACCAAATTTAAAATATGCTATTCAATTGTAAAGGATAACATAAAAATAAATGAATAACATTGAGAATTTTAAACTAATTGCATTGTTTAGATTATTGAAAAAAAAAACTAAAAATACTCAGTTTATATAACACTGTGAATTAAAATAGTAAAGTGATGATTTTTTCTTTTCATAACAAAAAAATAATAAAACAGTCATAAAAGAAAAATAATCTATTTTATAGGATTTATTTTTCATTATTATATTAAATAAGGACATGTTGGTATTTTTAATATTTTTTATGCATAATAAAATAACTTAAATAACATTGAAAATAAAAATAAAATAAAATTGGTTCTTAGAGATTTTTCATCTTTCATGTTTTGATTGCACAATTACCCTTAAAAGAAAAGAAATTAAAACTAATGTCCTTGAAATTTTTTGTATTTTTTATAATGGTTTTTACAGTTATAATCAATTTAAACAAGGAAAAGTTTAATATTTTAACAAATATAAATATAATAAAAAAATAAATAAAAATGGTTGGCGAGTATTACATACTCTTCAGCAAATAAAAAGTAAATGTACTTTTTGAATAATACGTGTGGTGCTCCCAAACAATCAAACAACACAATGACAACAATGAAAGCATTGTATTGTTCTTTTCCTGGTGATCAAGTGTATGTTCATCGAGAAGTCATAATTAGGTTTTAATAGATTGTTTTTCTTTCTTTTCTTTTTTCTATCTTCTCGTCTTAGATATTATATCAATCATTTTAAATATTAAATATGCCATGTTAGTTTATATTTTTATTAATTTTAATTTTTTTAAATTAATATAAATATTCTGACTAATTTGTGTGTACTTCGACTAATCCCACGAATCCTAAAATTAATGATTATATAAGCCTCCAGTAACCCTATAAACTCAAAATGGTGGTTTTTAAAGAACAAATTTAAGACCTAATCAGTTAAACTTTACGTCTTAAAATTTATTAATTTTTATTTTTATTTTTTTAAGTGTTATTTATGTTTTAATATTTTTTTAAAGATGTATATTTTTTAATTTTAATATACTAATATTAAAAATAAAATTTAAAAAACAACACGCGCGCATTGCTTCTCAACTCCGCCACGCTTAACTCCATTTTTTCCAATAACGACGTGAAAAAGTGCACCTTTAACATCCCATAAAAGCAAAAAAGGCCCCAAATTTGACCCCTCATCTTCCTTTCTCCAGCAACCTTCCACGTGTTCAATCTTATCCGCTTCTCCCCTATCTTTAATCCTCTACATCCCACCTCACTCAGCACAAATCATACTACCTCACTCACCACAGATCACACTCGCTTCAATAATTGTACCATAAACCTCAAAACAGTGACGTACAAGTTCATGAAGCGATACTCGTAACAATAAATGCATACACTTAACCGTACGTGATCATAGCTTACCACCTTAAAATTTTATCCTGGACCCGCTCTCACCTCCATTTGTTGTTTCCTTTTCTCTCCCTGTCTTCAACGCAGCACTCACTCAGTCTTTCTCAAGCTTTCCTATCTTCTTTACACACTCTCTCCCTAGAAAAATCTAAAACTTCGATCAATTTTTCTCATCATGGCCTCTTTACTCACTTTCGCTTGCTCCGTCCCAGCTCCAGTCCGAGCATCATCCGGATCTCCCAGGACACCCGACCCGTATGGCAAGAAGTCCGGTTCTTCAACCTGGTGGTCCCCGCTTTTTGGTTGGTCTTCCTCTCCTGATTACCTTAGCGGAAATAGTAGTTCCGGTGAGACAGGCGATGATATACCCGATAAGGAATCCGGGTTATCGGGTTCGGACCAGGAACCAGGTCGACCCAGATCGAGGTTCGCTCTTGGATCGTTCACCGAAGAGAAAGCGAAGCAGCTTAGAAGGAAGACTTTGGAGGGCAGTACGTTCCACGATATGATGTATCACTCGGCGATCGCGTCTCGTCTGGCTTCGGATGGATCGGGTCGGCAGGAGAAGTAAGCCGGATCTCCGGTTGGTAAGTAAAAACCGGGAACCCCACGTTTTAATCGTGGGACCCAAAAATTTGTCGAAATGAATATTTAGAACGTCTATTTTGTAAATGATGATGAACTGGCTTTGATGGCGTGATGAACTGTCGTTGGATCTTTGCCGTTAATAGTAATAGATTAATGACATGGCAAACTCTTGATGCATTTGATGTCATGATGAAGAATTGATATGTGATTTGTCGGTGTGTGATCTAAGCACGTGTTAGTCTATTTTTTTGTTCCTTGTTAGAACAAAAAGATCTAGGGCTAACTTTCAATCATACCTCTCCCTATCCGATTCGACCTGAAGTCTCTTTAATTGATGGCTTTACTTGGAATTTATTTAAAATAATATTTTTTTATTTTTTGAAATTTATACTTGATACTATTATATTAAAACAATTTAAAAATATGAGTTAATTTTTTTTTTAAAAAAAATCTTTTTAAAAAATATGGATGGATGATATAAGGTAGACAGAATGTCGTGGATATCATCGAAATTGAATTTGTATTTGCCATTCCGTCTACCGGTGACCTCAGGACGGCGACACATGCTGGTGTTGTTTAAGTGGACTATAGTAGGGTTAGGATAAATTATTCGGTAGCTTTAGTTTATCCATGGAATATCCTAATAAACCGTAAAATAAACACATAAAAGCATACGACGTCGTCGTCTAATCTATATGTAAATTATAATTACAGTTACAAAGAAAAGAAATCTAAAAGCCAACAAAAATAGTGAAGAAAAAATTAAAGTCAATAGGAGTGTCATTTAGATACTTGGAACTTTTGTATCAATGGGAAAAATAGATAATGGCTGAGAATAGATTTTTTTATTATTTAATTTTGTGTTTTTGAATTGATTTAGGGGTGTTTTATATTGAGAAATTAGTTATAGAGATTCTAAGAATTTTTATTAGATATTTTGAAATAAAAATAAATTTAAAAATGGTTTTTCTAGGTTTAAAAAATCAAATTTAAATTCTGGTTTTTTTACCAGTTCTTTTATGAATATCAACAAGTAAATAAAATGTCATTTATTTATTTTAAAAATAAAAAATAAAAGAGAGGATACATCTTGAATAATATTAATAAAATAAAAAAGATAAACATGAAAGCCTAACCTTTCATGTTTATACATGATGGGCTTATTATTTGTTGTCGGGCCAGGCTCGCAAGTCTTATTTATAAACTTTTTTTTTAATGTAATTTTTTAATTATAATGCACTTATTTTTAAGATTAAAATGAATATTTATTTGAAAAGTAGTACTTACTATTAAAAAATATATTTTTATTAAATAATAATTAATGAGAAAATTAAAGTTTAATTTTTTCTGCATTTCATTTAATTTTTTATTTTTCTAAATCCATTTTTCTAGAAAATCATAGTATTTATCT